ACGGTCAAGAAATAATTTGAATATATCAACCAAGTTTGAATGGTAAATTGGCCACTGTTACGATTATAAAAGCTGGCGTTTCGAGCATTAGCCCTTCGTCGGAGCGAAGGGCTAACGCTCCGACGAAGGGCTAACGCTCGAAACGCCAGCTTTTATAATCGTAACAGTGGCCAATTTACCATTCAAACTTGGTTGATATATTCAAATTATTTCTTGACCGTGGCTGATTTTCCAAATTAGCGGAAATGAAAAACTTGTATCAACGCGTTTTGATTTACGGCAGAACCTCAAACTATGAATTATTGTTATTATTGATGGAGGGGAGGCATCAATATTTTCATTTCTTTCAGCAAAACGAAGAAGTGTTTCAGTTCATGAGTAAGCCAGACGTATGTGTACGAGTATTCAGGCAAGAGGTGATAGTGCTCTAACCACCGAATTGGCTCAAAGGTAGCGCAAAGTTATCAAAGCTGGCATGACGTTGTGAAAAAGAACAGCATTCTTTGGGGCATAGAGGTCCCACCGCGAGGACCAGTTTTTTCCCTTTTTCTGGCGTAATTATCAAGCTTACTTTGCTTTGCTCCAATAACGAACCGTAAAGTTATCAAGAAATTTAGCCCACTTCGTTACGTTCTATATTTATCATATATATCAATCTCCCCACGCAACGAACTGCTTAACCTTGTCCCCTTTTCTTCCTATACTCTCCCTAAAGTTATAACAACTTTCTCGGTTTTAGAAAAAGTCCTCGCTACATGCGTAGTGGAAGCCACCACTTTAGTAATAAAAAACAATGGTACACGTTTTGGGCAATTAATTTCATCATCCGTGTTGGCGCGAAATTAACACTTAACCCAAGGACCAATATCAAGTGAGCACTTGCTGCAAAATTATGTTGTGAGATTACTGTTTGAAAAGTATACAAGAACTTCTATGTTGTAATAGGAATTGGATAGTTTGTATAAGCGTTTTTAACCCATACGTCCAAGTCCATCGTGAAACTGTGGATCACAATCTGATGAATCATGCTTCCTTCCAGAGAGATACTACTAAACTGAACATAAAGCTCTGTTTAGGTACAGTATGGTGTTTTTTTACATATTTTCCTATTAACTCTCATAAATGAACCTCCCCTAGAGGAAACTGATCTCAATGATGTTACTCAAAAGAGCCCTATGATTTTTGTTTTAGTCAGCTTTCCACCGGCATGTTTCAGATGAATTGATTGCTCATGTTTACTTCGTATTAAAAAAGGCACAGCTTTTCCAAAAGTTTATCAGTAGGAGGTATTTTGTTTTCTAGAGGGTGCTCCAGTTGCCTTTTTATTTATTTTTTTTGCTATTTGCAGCGCGTACGTTGCTCTTCAATTCTGGGTTTTCTAAGGCCTACAAGAGGAGGAGAGAACTCTGGATAAAATGAGGACACAAATGAGATTTGGCCCTCAAAGGAATGCCAAACATACCTGGATGATAATCTTCTACATCTTATGATGACCATTTTAAATGCAATTGCTATCCATTTCTCACATCGTTTTAAATCTTTAGTAGTTGAATTAGTTTTAAAAGCTTGACAAATCTTCATGAAGGAGCAGTAACGATTTTCTCTCCGGTGGTAACTCGGGGCAAATTAATAAATGTACATGACAGCTCTAAGATTTAGCATTGTGATGCTTTCTCCGTATACGTTTGTATAAGCTTCTACATTTATGTTAATCTCAAGTTTACAACAAATCAGAATAAATTAATATGAGCCATCACATCGAGCTTATAATGGTGTGTAGTTGAGTCAATATGATTAATGGCTTATGAATAAGCCATTAATAGTGTATTTATCAATAACGGAGTGCATAAATACATTTGAATACCTACATTTAGAGTAAATGATAAAGAAAACAAATTTAATAAACCTAAACCTTACCTTCATCAGAAGATTGGTCCTCATACCCTTTTAAATCTATGTGTGGCTCTTCATATTCGGAATTTGCTGCAACATCTTTCTGGGACTGTCTATGATCTTCAGTATCTGTCTTCTTTGATTGTGGTGTAATTTTATCAGTAGAGTCGGTAGGCTCAGTGTCAGGCTGTCCTGGCTTGGCAGGCTCTTTGCGTTTTGTGTTCAGCTGCCCTTTACATGTATCTTGGAGCCCAGTGTGTTCCACACATGAGTGATCATGTTTGTGGACCTCCTGTTGCTCTTTTTCAGGTTCCTCTTGGGCTTCTTTGTCTGGTCCTGTGTGGAACATGGAAATTTAAGAGATTAGTAAATATTGTGAGATCGGTTTGTAGACAAAGCGAATTACACAACATCATGACAAAGATAGAACTTGTAAATTTGTACTGTCGTTGCTCCACACCGAAATGTATCCACTCGAGGCGATTCTGTTTTGGACAATTGCTTGACTAATAATGAAGCCCTCTTCTCTAGGTGCTACCCTATTGTCGCTCAAATGAAAACAGACCATAAAGGCGTAATTTTATCAGCAGGTGTGAGACTAATGCCCTTGAGATTCAGTAGCACAATGCGTGATTACCAAGAGCATCGCAAAATCATGTTTCACCATAAGCTCCTTGAACAAGACTGGAATCATGTTAATGATAACTCTGACATCGATACAACGGTGAACTCGCTGCACTCCACCTTAGAGAAATTAATGAACGAATGTTTTCCAAACAAATCGATTCGAATGTCTTCCAGAGACCCTCCGTGGATGAGTCCATCAGTGAAATCGCTCTTGAAGAAAAAAACAAGATCTCGAAAAGGCGGCGGGAGAGACCTAACTGAACTGACGGAGAAGATAGGACGACTAATAGCTGAAAATCGCCGAGTTTTAGCGTCTCGGAAACTTGGATCGCTAGCCTGTTGGAGGAAAGTTGATCGACTGTCCATGCGTAAAGACAAGAGCAGCTGCGAACCAGACAAGGATTTCATTATTGTTTTAAATGATTATTCCGGTGGCATTTGCTTTGATAGAGAATATTCTGAACCACTTCCTGCCGAGATTGATGTGAAGACCCCTGCTCCACGACTATCTACATTTCAAGTGTTTATTACCTTATCACGAATAAAGCGTACTTCCACCGGACCTGATGGGATTCCTTTCTGGATCTGGAAAGATTATGCTGAGACATTTACCCCAGTGATTGAGAATTTATGGAACATGTCTCTTGCTCGGCAGATTTGGCCAAGCCGTTGGAAGGAGGCTAACATCAATCCACTCCCAAAAGTCGAGACACCAGTCGAATAGGCGGACTTTAGAGGAATCAATGTTACTCCAGTTATTGTTAGAACGTTTGAAAGAACAGTATATAACATTTTTAACAAGAGGCCCCTGGAGCAACATCTGAATCACTCTCAATTTGCGTACCGTTCAGGTGGAAGTTGTGTAAACGCTCTGTTGAAAATGCAGCATACATTTCTTGCGGCATTGGATAGACGGGACACCTTAGCGGTGAGAATGTTTACGATGGATTTTTCAAAAGCCTTTGATAACGTTAAACACAATCTCCCAGTTGAAAAGCTGAAACGCAGTCCACTTGATTCATGCATTGTTAACTGGTATGCCAACTTTCTTGAAGGCAGAAAACAGAGGGTGATTTTCAATAATTTGACTCGCCAGTGGAGAGTTGTAAACAAGGGAACGACACAGGGAAGTGTCATTGGCCCATATCTTTTCAACATATTTTTGAATGACCTAGAGATGGATGGGTACAAAGATATATCCTTGTTTAAGTATGCAGACGTTTCAACCGTCTTAGTAACGATCACTAAAGATTTCCAGGTAATATCTGACATTGCCTTGTCCAAGTTTATGGATTGGACTGTTGCAAACGGCATGCATTGTAACACTAGTAAGTGTAAGGAGCTAGTTATGCGTAAGAAAGGCAATTCAACAGTGTACCCAATGTCTCACAATATCAAACAATATAATAACATTTATTTATTGGGCGTCACATTTCAAGGTATCGTAAGTTCAGCATGCATGTTAAGGCCTAGCTCCATGAAGCCAACAAGTGTTTATTTGTCATGAGAAGCCTACGTCAAGAAGGATATACACAAGATGAAATAGACCACCTCTTTAATTCAATTGTGATCTCTAAGTTATTATACGGTCTTTCAGTTTATGCTGCAAGTGTTTCTGAACTTACTGTTATACAAAGGTCTTTAAAAAGATGCTATAAGAGGCGCTATACGTCGGTCAATTACAACATATATGAACTATTGGAGAAATGCGACAGACGCCTTTTTTATAACCTCAAACAGGATGACCATCCATTAAAAAGCCTACTCCCAAGGTACAAAGACTATATCATAAACATTCGAAGGAAATCCGTTGTCAGGCCCAGCATCAAGACTGAACGTTTTAAACATAGGTCTTTTAATAGATTAATTTTTAAATATGGTCTAGCTGTGTAAACAACCCATATGTATTTCTAATCATTTTTATTTGATTTAATCATTGTAATTTTTCCCATCAATATATATTTTTACTGTAACATCAGATATGTAATTTTATCGGATGGTTTTTTTAATAAAGACGAATTTATTTATTTATTTATTCTAAATGACACTTGAGAAAGAAATAAGACCACCCTGTTGCTCAAATATCATTATGATCATTTGGAAGTTTTCCGGTGGGTTCTTCATTCTCAGCATGCTCCAATTTCGGATTTTTTGGCTCATTTCGAGTTTCTTATTTTCTTTATGTTCTTTATTTTTGTGTTCATTTTGTTCATACTAGACACGATGTTCTACACATTCGTTCCTACGGTCTATAAAGCATGTTTAGTGATTTAGAATTAAAGAGAACAGTCTAGATTATTGTTTTTTATAAAGGTGAAATGGTCAATTGGCCTCATTCACTTTTTGTTTTTCTCCGATAAAATTTTCTAATGATTTTGTAATATCGTCAAAGATGTGACGGAGGCGCCAAGGATGGTCGTGCTCTTATTGATTTAATGGAAGTCTATCGCCTATCCAGTCTGATAAAAGAACCTACAAGAATCACTAATACTTCTACTTCACTGATTGACGTTATATTTACATCTAGACCGCGATCGTTTCTGTCTTCTGGAGTCTATGATACAGGTATAAGTGATCACAGTTTGGTTTATGCTGTAATGAGATCTCATTGTCCAAGACCTTGCATGGAAATTAAGAACAAAAGAAGCTTCAAACACTTTGACCAAGATGTTTTCTCAAGGGACGTCAGTCAAATTCCTTTTCATGTTGCCTATGTCTTTGATGATGTTGTGGGCTTGGGGAAAAATGTTCACGGGTCTTCTTGACGAACATGCTCCTGTTAAGAAAAGGCTGATTAAGCGGGAGCATGTTCCCTTTATGACCACTGAACTATTTGGTGCTATTCGTCGTCGACGCAGATTGAAACAAACATACTATGCAACAAAAGATCTCGCAGACTGGCAAAAGTACAAGGAACAACGAAACAAGACCTCATCGTTGAGACGGAAATTGATTTGCAAATACATAAGAAGTAAATGTGACGATGCGAAAGGCGATCCTAGGACTTTTTGGACTGTAATTAAGCCTTTTATTCACAGCTT